ACACATTCAGTCTACTCTATAACACAGACAGTATTCAACTGAGAGCTACCAGCCTCCACAAACACAAGTCTCATGGTTGCATACAGTATAATTCAAATCAACACGGGCATTTATTCATAGAGAAGATGTAAAGAGCTGTTTCTGGTGTAACTGCTGTATGTAGACCTGGTTTGATGTCGGTGTTGCATTATATTCAGGAATGTCACAGCAGTTTTCTTTCAGTGAAGCAGAGGTGCTGAATTTTGCATTTTAGTTCAGTTTTCAGACATGTTATTCAAAATAAAGAAATAATGTACTGAGCAGGCAGCTGTAGATACAGCATCACTATTATTCCTGGAGTTTAATTCAACTTTTAAAAACCCCACATTCGAACCCCGCCGTGTGAGCTGCCTTTTAACCGCAATCATTTAAAGAGATTAAAATCTGGGCGCTGGGTTTATGCATTCACACATCACTCGGCATGAATCAGAGTCCCTGAGGGACACTGGATTGGCTCATCAAAGGATAAATCTCTGCAAACGGACATGTCAGTGAAGCCCGCTCCTCCCTGATATACATTTATTTCTCCCTTGAAATGTATCTTTCTATTTAAACAGCGATCTCGATCTCACTGAGAATACCTGAATACAGATAAAACAAAAGCTCGTTCACCCCCGAGTAATAAATTATAAGCCACAAGTTGAGAGAATATACCGACATAGCAACTACTGATATTTGGTTCACGCCAGGACAGGTGTCAGCTTTCAGTTCAGCCAATTCAAACTGTAACTCCCGTCTTTCAAGTGAAAGATTATTAATATTCAGTCATTTCTCAGAAGTTCATATGACAACATTTCCATGTCTGTATACAGAGTTTTTGTTTTTTTCTCCAACTCAGTAACCCAACCTTTCCTTTTTCCGCTCCTTCCTCTCTCTTTCTCTTCCTTATATTGTGATATGCTGCTGGATTGGGTGCAGTGCATCTTGGATGTCTTTCAAGTCTCGGCACAGCAGTGCATATCTTACCTGAGAGCGGTGGAGTTGCAGCAAGCTGCTGGCCTGGGGCCTCAGAGCCTGCCACCCCACCCCCACGCCCCTTCAGTGTGGTCCATGTCCTCGCTGGTACACTGGGAATGGGCGTAATCTGCTATACAGTCTCCCTGTCAGCGATTATGCACATATTGTAAAGGCAGTAGTGCTTATTTAGACAACCAAAATGGTTGCTCTTTTCTCCAGCTGCATTTAACATTTTCTCTACCTTGAGTGGATTTTGACTGCATGAAAAGAAGCTTTGTCTTATAACGATACTATAAACGACACTGATCGTAGAATAAATTAAAAGGGATGCTTATTCACTCTCTTGCCGAGAGTCAGATGGGAAGATCAATACTGCTGTCATGTCTATACAGTAAATATGACGCCGAAGCCGGCAGCCAGTTAGCTTAGAGACTGTAAACAGGTGCCTGGCTCATGTCGTTTTCACACTACAGAGATCAAACGAACGAGATTTTGTTTTTAATTAGTGAGCTTTTTAGGTTTTGTTACCTTTGGACGGAGCGAGGCTAGCTGTTGTCCCATATCATAGAGTATCAGAGAGTAGTATCGATCTTCTCAACTCAACTCTCAGATAAGTATAAAAAGTATTTCCCAATATGTCAAACCCTTCCTGTAATATGTTGTTGCCACTAGATTGTCTGGTAAAATCAGGCTGTCAGAACCATAAAGTCAACCATTAAACCCCAGAGCCTCCAGATTTATGTGGATATTAAACCGGCAGCATTTCAGTCTTCTCTACAAAATGGGTGTTAATCAGGATAAATCAAGAATTTATTGTTGTTGTCATCACAGAAACAAGGCAAACTTTCAACCTAACTCTGTGAGACTTCTTCTCACCATCTTGAATACAGAGCTCCTTGCTTACGTGCAGTGCAGCATTCCAGGCAAGTTGAAACACGACCGTGTCCTTCCCTGTCTGAGGGAATCAGTTAAACTGGGTGGATGCAAGGAAATGGATCGCACACATACAACTCTGTATAACTTCAGAATGCAAAAAGAAAATTTTATAAAAATAGCGTTAAACTCATGTCACCCCCTGACAGGTATTCTGAGGTAAAGTTTAGAGTACGTCGCTTTCACATAATTCAAAATACAAGAAAGAAAAGAAAACAAATATTTTTGCCAAATGGGCACGGCACATAATTAAAACCACTTCTACAATACAATCAGCCCTGCACTTAAAAAAAAGATACTACATGACTCGATCTACATAAAGGCACAGTTCTTTTTATGGCATTCTCCATCAGTAGCTTCACTCAAACAGGAAATAAATCCTCCAAACAACACGCCTAAAGAAACATCCCTTTGAAGGAAAGGCATAGACAGTATCAGCAAACCTAAAAAAGGGCTTATTACGTCCGTCATTTCCATAAAATGTGGGTTTTGAAAGTACCCCGGGATGTGTTTATTACTGATACATTTTCACCACAGTAATAAGCCCCAAAGTTTCCAAGTGCTATAGTCAGCCAAAACTTTTCTTAAATGGAAAAAACCTCAGAGAGATTTTATGGGATTAATAATTAGAACAACTTTCAACGTTACTGGATTTACTTGATAATTTAGACATAAACAGGTTCATGCTGCTTTGAAAAATGCTTTCATGTCTCATTTTACATTTTGTCATTTAATTGTGCTTGTTTACATTGTTTGCATGTATTACCATGTAAGTCATCAATTTGCTCCTGCATTAGTAAAACAGTATATCATATAATTTCAGCTTGATTGTAGTGATTCAAATCATCGTTTGTGTAATTTGAAAAGGTTTTTGTTAACGAGGGTGGAGAGGGTTTGGTTTTTTAACGTTCAGTTAAAAAAGGGCTATATTAGGGTGTGGACTGGCTCCAAGGCAGAAAAGGGGCGAGGTTTAGCCCTGCTGCTGCATCGCTATTGGTGGACAAGGGGGACAAAAATGCCTGTACCTTGTGCAGGTAAACAGACTGACTGACACAGCAGGGATGGATGGGCTGACGGGATTTACTGTAACCGTTCAACTTCATTTACCGACCATTCTGGACAACTTCACAGCTTTTTTTTTTGTGAGTGTCTCGCTTTTGTACAGGTTTGTGTTGTATACACTTGTATGTCTATCTGCAGACAAAAGAAAACAGAAAAGTCAGCATTTGTACGTTTTTTTCCTTTGATAAATATCAGGCACTGGTGCTTTGTTGTGTGCAATTTTCCCTGATAGTTTGTGCATTTCACACATCTTGCCTCGTCATTCAGGTGAGTTGCAGTCAGAGGTTGAGACGTTGACAGTGTACGTTTGTCAGCTGTTGCAAGTTCTGTTTTAGCTGCATGATTGAGAGACGTGAGAGCTGAAGGTTGCTGGTGATTTGAGAGTGAGTCAGTAATAGAGGGTTCCATTTGTGTGGGTTTGGTCTCGACATGTTCAGCAGCACCCCGCATCCACTGGGTTCAAAAGACTCCAGAAGGATGGAAAACAGTGAAAACAGGTTTGGTCTTGTGCAGGGAGAGGCCGGCCTGGCACACCCTTCATGCACGCACTCACATGCACACAAAGAAAGAGAAGCGAACCTGTTTTCTAATGGAGTCGTTCTTTTTAACCGCTCTGCAACTTCTTTCCCGATAGAAAAAGAAAGAACTACATCATTCGTGGAAGGAAGTCAGCCGTGTCAACTATGTCACTCCCAGGGATTCCTCACCGGAGGCGTCAGCACGCTCGCTGCTTTAATGAACCCATCCATGTATTCTATCCTTCATTCCACCGGAGTCTGTGTAATGTGCCAATCAGATTTCAGTGGTTTGAAGAGTAAAACGCATGGAATTTGTCATCTGGGGGAGCTTTCCTAGGAATGAAGTCACATGAAAGAAGGTTTTAATGGTCGCAACGTTTACAATAAAGGTTAATGTGACTCTGTGACAAAAGATCAACCTCGTATGGCCTTTAATGTCTTTGGATGCCAACCTGCCGTTGAATGCAACAGTTCTGCACAAGCACAGAAAGAGGACTTCTCTTCCTCCTTCTCCTCCTCCTACTCCTCCTCCTCACCTGCATTGCGACAGCAGTTGAATAGCGCTGCACTGATTGCACTTTAGAGTTATTGCAAGATCACAGAGTCTTGGCAGCCCCACTTTATGTCTTTTGGACTGTCACTCAGAGGTTGTTATGTCCTCACCGTGTCTCCCTGCCCTTGCTTCTCCAAGACATGGCAATTACATAACGACACCTAAATTCCCACATTACCACATCCTCAACAAACTCTTCAGGGTTAGTGCCAAGATGTAGTTTTGTGTCCCTAAAGTCTCCTCTTCTTATAACCGCACCCAAAGAACTCATATATTGTCAGCATTGTCTTGAGTGATTCAGCATTGCGTAATGGACATCTTTTTTTCTCTAAAGAATATAGTTTTCCCATCGGGTTTTTAACCAATTCTCTGTTGCATAATTAACCTGACTCATTAGCATTAGCGGAGTCTATTCAAAGCCTTAATTCTAACTAAATGGGCAGCTGGAAGTCATTTGACAGCTACATTGAGCCCTGAGTCACCCAGCAATAATTCTTCCACCCAATTAAGATGGAGAGAACATAAAGAGCAAACAAACAAAGCCACATAGTGCCAGATCAGCAGAGATTCATACGGACCTACATTGAGTAACAGTGTTGTTATGACAGTTTCCTTCCTTAATTATACACAGTGAGACAGTCGGTTCCCCCTGCCCACAGACACACAATTTCATCCAGAACTACAGGTGCTAAACCCTCGTCAGTTATTTAACAACAAATAGGAAACAAGATATTTTAATAAATAATTTTAAAAAACATCATTATTATGAATTCACAACACAAAGGAAAGAAGAGTCTTTCCTGCCTTTTCTATCACAAAACAGAAAGCACCCAATATATACAAAGAACCCATGCATGACCCACGCTTTAGAAAGATTCATCCTCATCATCTTGGCTCCTTCTGCTGCCCCTGTGAACAATCAGCCATCCCAGCAGGCCTCACACAGTAGAAAGACATGTGTCTTTCTCCTGAACAGGCTTCCTCTTCACGTCACACCTAAGCATGCCATTCACCTTCCTGTTGGATGTAATGATGACCACGGGGCTTAGCGCTGCATAGAGTGAGGAGAAGAATATACGCAGGTCAGAGATCAGCGAGGAAGTCATGGCCTTCCTCACAGTGAGAGTGTAGACCCAAATCCCATTATCGACCCCGTAAAGAACCACATACAAGGTCACGAGAGCTACCACGGTTTTGGCAGCTCGTCGCTCTGCCCCGCCGCCGCTACTGCCGCGGAGTCCCTTCACCTGCTGGCTGTGCTTGTAAAGGAAGACCAGGATGATCAGACTGGCTAGCGCCATGAGGGCCATGGGCACCACATCTCTGCCCACCTGGGCTGCCCCGTTCGCCTCAATGGACAACTTTGAAGGAAAGTTAACGTAGCAGAATTGGACATTGATGCCATGGTTTGATAGGTTGGAGACGTTTTTGGTGCCGAAGGAGAAGAGTATGGCTGCCGACGACATGCAGGTGTTGAGGACCCAGAGGAAGAGGAACACAAAGCCCAAATACTGGGCTAACACGGTGCGGAAGGAGGCCCAGCGTGATCCAGGAGGGGCGATGCTCAGGCACTGGTAGGCGCTCAAGACGAAGGTGAGCCAGATCGAGAGGGACCGGGATGTTCTGTAGACAAAGATCACGGCCTTACAGCCCACGTCTCCGAAGATGCTGGGCAGGCGGAGGGAGGCCAGGGTCTCCAGCAGACAGCGGACGACCACCACCAGCAGGTTGACACAGGCCAGGTGCAGGACAATGACATCAGATGGGAGGAGGTGGTTCTTCTGGTACAGCAAGAGGAGGAACGCCAGGATGACTGTCCCGTTACCCGGGACTCCCACAACAGTGAGGGTCAGATAGAGCATCCCGCGGACAAACACCACTGATGGCATTCCTGCAGCAATAGAAAAGAGGACAAGGCAACTTCACCACTTAGATAAACAAGGTGTATTCAGGCGCATTCGAAAAAACTGCAGAAGTTTACTACCTGAGAACAGTCAAGGGTAACGAGGTCTGAAGTGGACCTTCTCCCTGATCCCTCTCTCCTGAAGTAGTCGGGTTGTTTGTGCTCTTATACTTGCAAACAGGTGACAGTTGTTGAATCTGTTTTTCATGGTCCATTGACTTCTCTTCCCTCAGCCTCCAATTACTGGAGATCAATTCAGATGACTGATTCTGTCCCCTCACTGGGTTTCAGACAGACAGGATAACACAGAGAAAGCTGTGTACGGAGATCCAATCATTGGACAGAGAGAATGGTGTTAATGACTAGATAACATCTATTAGCTACAAGTTTATACTCAAGAAAGATTAAAACAGTTTCTCAGTGTCACTGGTTCCCTGAGTGGAGACCACTGAATACCTTTTTTTGTAATTACTGATCCTTTAATTAGATTTCCTTACAGGACCCTTCATATTACTCTTGTATTTTTAATTCTCTAATCAATTTTAGAAGCCGCTATTAAAAAAAGACTTCTCTTTGTTAGTCAAACACCAACACCACAGTGTCCTCCAGTGGAGAAAGAGGACGTTCCACTCAGTCTCCATGACAGATCACCCACGATTTTCATCTGTAGAGTGTGACATAGCAGACAATTTATGATTGTCTAATTCACCCAAAGCCATAAAAGTTCTGAATATTCAATTAAATCTAAACTGTGAGGATTTTGTAAGGACAAATAAGTGTAGGTATGGCCTGCATGATTTAACCGCAACATGTCCTAAAGCAGGTGATGAATGTTAAGTCCATTTCTCTCAAGTGCATGATGAGACATGAAATTAAAAGAGAAAATACCACAATATGATATTCAATGGGATTAGTTGCATACATGAAATTCATATTTTGAACATGGTATAGGAGGATTTCATTTATCGATAGTGTTGAGTTGGTTTATTAATACTTGGTTGTGAAATGTATAAATGCATTTACTCACTGTGCAAATTTGAGGTACTTGTACTTTCCATTTTATGCTGCTTTGTACTTCTACTCATTACAAAGGAAAATATTGCACTTTTTTTCTCCACTAGTACTTATTACATACAAAACATGATATATTCATTTATTAATATTATCTTTACCATAACCTACTGCAGCAGTAACATGATACCAACACATCAATAATCCAATCATATAATAATATTAAATAAATGATGATATATACAGTTATAGTGTAACACTCACAGGGTCCTCTTTTCTCTGTTGAGTACTTTTACTTTTTTTAAGTGTATTTTCCTCATGTTACTTTTACCTAATTAAGATTTTAATGGAGAATTTCACTTGTAATTTAATATTTTCATAGTTGTTCCTAAACCGCTGTACATTTTAAATTTAACTTTATTGTCCTTGAAGGGAAATGTGTGTTTCAGCCAGGTGCAACACAGATTGCACACAGACCTGAAGGTACATAAAACACAAAGGAGAAAAACAATAAAATGTAATGTGAACATGGTAAACAGAGGGGGAATTCAGACAGGTACCTAAACTGATGAATGATCTCTGTAGATTTGATGCGATAGGTGAAGGCACTCAGCGGAATGAAGATACATCTTGAAGATCAGCCGGTGTTTTCAACTGAACATTGTGTGCTATTGAGTTATGTTACTTGTATGTTAGAAGGATACTAGAAAAGATATAGAGAAATAAAATAAAAGGTCGTGGGAGGTTAAATTTGCTCCTTTCCCCTTAAATGCAAACACTGAGTCTAAGGCCCATCAATATCAGACGGGAGACTGCTAAGCCAAAAGCCTCTTAAACCTTTTGCTGTGGGACAGATTAAGTGGCACAGTGAGGAGTGCACTGAATATTCCCTCTTCCCCAACCAAAGCCTCACCCGCATACTTAAAGGTGCAAAAGGTTAAAAAGTAGACACATCTCTGAACTGACTTGCATGCGAACCACTAACTTGACTGCTACTTGAGAAGTGACTTGATTTAAAATAATACAGCCCTTAATGGTGCGAGAGAGTGCATTTTCTGAACACTAAGTAAATAATCTCAAACAGTGATATCAAAAGAATGAGAATGACATTTGAGTGCAGCTTATATTGTGTATAAGTCTTTTATTATCCATGCAAAACTATTAATGGATATTTCATCCATGAAGTCATCCCTTAATCAGGAATACAATGAAACACAGAAAAAAAGACACTGCGCATATTATTGACATGACCTGTATTAAACTAGATGTAAACTTCGCCTCTGAGGACATTATTGTAATGAAAGTTAATGTAACATTAAAACTAGTTTAGTGCATTGGGGGGAAAAAACAATTTACATCACCCATAAACAGAGACATCAAATTGCATGTCAGGGGAAAAATAAATTGAACTTGCAATGCAGCAGACTGCACATTATCTAATCCCCTGAGAAGGACAAGCTTGAACTTGCCATTTTAATTAGCTCTTTGAACATGTAAACATGTAAAACAAAAAAAACAAAAAAACAGACACAGGAAAATAATACATCTTATGATGCTTTATTCCAAAGCCCATTCCCAGGAGAAAATAAGCTTCTTAAACAACAATGTTTCAGCACATGTCTGAATTTTGCAACTGAGAAAATGTAGAATTGACCAGTTGGTTACAGCGCGTTTAATCTAAGACACATTTACAGTTTGTACAGAGAGTAGCACCGTACAGAGACAGTGCTGGAATACCTTGATAGGAATAGCAAACTTCTGTTGCAGCGATTGTGAGTGCTGACTGTTAAGAACAAAAATAAATGTTGTCCCTGTGCCCCCAATTAGTACAGACATGCATTTTTATATGGCTAATTGTCTTGCTCCTCTGTGTCTTTTAACACGCTCCCAGGACATGAAGGAGGAAAGGAGCGCAAGCCAAAGCACCAGCTGTGCATGTAAAAGCCTCTTGATGGCTCATTCAAGGCATCATCAGGCTGCTTTTGCATCAACAATTACCGCACGCAGTGTTCCCCGCGAGGGTTGTTTAACTCTATTTTTTAACTCCACGGGGAAATAGCATTATAATGTTTGATGGACGTGCAGTCTGTAGAAGCTGAAAACTAACATGTGGAAGTAAAGCACGGGAAAATACCGCTGAAGTTTAGAAGTCACATACAGTATATTATCTGTATGACCTAAGGCAGCGCAATTTCCCAACACTAAGACTAATTGGGAGTGTTGTGTTGATGTTCAGCCTGGAGACGTTTGATGTCACACTCCCACACCAGAACCTCTCAAGTCTACCTTAAAACAATACTCACATTCCCATCTGTACATTGAAACAGATTTTGCACAATGTCATCATCCTTCGTGTTCATACCTGCCACGAAAAGATCCATTCCTAACATGTTTCGAGTGGAAGTGATGGGGGACGTCCATGGAGTCAATTTTTTATGGCGCCCAGGAAGGAGAATAGGAAGAGGAACACAAAGCCCAAATACTGAGCTAACCAAGGACATCCACAGCTCTTGTTTTGTACAAAAATATATTCAAAAGTGTATCTGAAATTGATTTGACGCTGAGTGAGCGAGGACTGTGGACTTTCTTCCCCACCATCGCTTCCATTGGATGCTTGTTAGGTCCGAACAGGAGGAATGATTGCAGAAAGCAGAAACTACTTCAATGTTCACATGGGCACCTGATTATTGTTTTTTATTGACTTGAAAAACTGTGTGTGTATCCTTCAGTTGTCGTATATTCCCTATGCAGCCCTCTGGAATAAACTGAGTCAGATTTAGTTTGTTGCTTTAATTTGCCAAACTGTGGGCTGAACACTGCAATGTTGGCCAGTGATCTCAAGGGGCATCTGAGCCTATAAATTGCAATTACACAGGCCATTAAACATTTAATGCACAACAGGCTTTACTTCATCTCAACTTCTGGTGAGCATGGTTTTCATTCAAGAGATTGCTTGATTATATTCTGGCTGGTTATATAAAGAGGCTGTTCCCTGTATTCATAACAGATTTGATTGTCCGTCTGCCTTTCAGCAGCAGGCCTTGGTGTCATGGATCTGTGTGTGACCATCAAAGGGGTCTCGTTCCTCTTACAAACAGGTATGGGCATCTTGGGGAACACGGTGGTGCTGCTGGCGTACGTCCACATCTTCTACACCGAGCCCAAGCTTCTTCCTGTGGACATGATCCTGTGCCACCTGGCCTTCGCCAACCTGATGCTGCTACTGACCCGCTGCGTCCCCCAGACCATGACTGTGTTCGGGCTGAGGGACCTGCTGAATGATCCCGGCTGTAAGGTGGTGATCTACGCCTACCGCATCGGCCGGGCTTTGTCGGTCTGCATCACCTGTATGCTCAGTGTGTTTCAGGCGGTGACCCTCGCCCCCGCTGGACCCCGTTTGTCCAGGTTGAAGCCTGCACTTCCTTCCCTGGTGCTCCCCACCTTTGCAGGACTGTGGCTCCTCAACATGGCCATATGCATCGCAGCCCCTCTCTTCTCTATGGCTCCACGTAATGGCACCGTGCCTGCATTTACCCTCAACCTGGGCTTCTGCCACGTGGACTTCAGAGACAACCTGTCCTATGTGATTAACGGAGTGGCCGTCTCTGCGAGGGATTTTGGCTTTGTCGCCCTGATGGTGGGCTCAAGCGGTTACATCCTGCTGCTCCTGCACCGCCACAGCCGCCAGGTGAGAGGGATCCGCCGCCCTCAGGGCGCCGGGGCAGAGACCAGGGCGGCCAAAACAGTGATCACCTTGGTGGTTCTGTACGTGGTCTTCTTCGGGATCGATAACGCGATCTGGATCTACATGCTGACGGTGGCGAAGGTGTCACCAGTGGTGGCTGATATGAGGGTGTTCTTCTCCTCCTGCTACGCCTCTCTCAGCCCCTACTTCATCATTTCCTCCAACAAGAAGGTCAAGGCGAAGATCGTGTGTGCAGCTGAGCAAAACCAACCGTCAGTGGACAATCAGGAGTCGAGGGACAAATGATACTCTTTCTCAGTTTTGACAGGCTGTTGACTAACAAGACAGCAGAGTCCTTCTCACAGACCTTATCATTTTCAACACTTCTGTTTGGATGACAGACATTTACTGAGACAGTGGACCCTTTCAGAAAGTAGAACAAACAGTAGTGTATTGCAATAGTGTTTCAGGGTTTTCTCTTATATTTATATTTTCATCAAAATCACAAATATACTGTACCTGCCATGTGGTTTGTGGTCATTTTGAATTATAGCAAAAAAACACACACACACCATCATCATCATCATTAGAGCCAAAACAATTAAATTAGTCAATAAGTAAATTAATCTGCATAAGCTTTGAGTATTGATTAATTGTTTAAGTCATTTCAAGAAAACACCCCCTCATTCTAGCTTCTCAATTAAGATAACTTGCTGCTGTATTTTGTGATCTTACACTGATGATCTTTGGGATTGTTGGTCGTATGATAAGCAATTTGAACAAGACTTTAGTCACAATTAAGGACATCATCGTCATGCTTTTGAAATAGTTTAAGGGGAATTCAAGGTTTAATTGTAGTGAGTGTCAAAGTCATGTACAGTTTCACGTACATTTCACATTCACTCAGATATTTTTTTAGAGTCAACATCTTTTAATTGGACTGTTTAAGGGTCATTAAAATAATGACAATCGGAATGTATCCACCAGAATTATATTCCTGATATTATGGGAAGGGTTTTGAAATTGAAAATGTGGAAAAAGACAACTTTGCAGACTTTTTCTGGTGACTAATCAAAAATCTTACAGGGCGGATGCAGTGTTTCTTACGTCTTAGTCCAGAATTTGAAGATGTTGCTTTTGGCTTTTTTCTAGACTAAACGATTCATTAAGAAAGTAATTGCTATTTGCAGCCCTAATCATTCTCATCATGTCCAATATTGGGCTGTCTCACTCTTGCTGTGCTCTGATTGGCTGAAATGTTAGGAATCATTTAACATTGTGTATATGTTGTCTGTAGAGTAGCCTCCCAGGCAGCGCCTTACTACTTCAAGTGTGCGACTAGTTTAATCAGTCAAATGTTTATGATTAAAAATAGAGCACAAACTACCACTATAACGTGTTAGACAATGGTAGCGGTTTAATGTCTCAATCTTACCCACGGAAAAGGTATTCTGGACGCAACCTGAGCGAGCGCCAACTCAGCCTGCAAGCCAATGCTTAGGGAATAAACCTCCCTGCACAAGCACAACAAACCCCGGAAAAGGGAAGCGGAAGACTGAGCCAAACGTTGAACAACAAAGTGAAGTTTGTGAAGTACACAGTGACAGTTACCTGAAATAAATGCCTCGACAACCAGCCATACGGGGATGAAGGAAACGTCTTAGAAATGTAACACCTACGAGGCATCAATCGAGTCGAAAAGTGTCAGTTGTGGTAAAGCGCGTAGCTAGCGGTTAACCTCACGTTAGCGAGGTTTGACAACAAGACGCTGCTGCGCTTCACAACCCGACGACGGGAAAGTAGTTACCGAGCGGTTTGTGATGATTGTTAAAGGCGTTTACAAGTTTGTGGCAAATCAACCCGTACTGTCTCATTTCAGGTGAGTTCCTTTAGCCTGCTGCTGACGGGCGGCTAGTGTTAGCTAACGTTTGCTCGATTTAGTTTACGGTAAACAGAAGCTCGCTTCAGAGCTAAACTAACGGTGACAGTGCGCGTACAGCTGACTTCATATCTAGTTTCCTCTGTTAGCCATTGTTCTTTTATTTATGATGTTGCTTTAATGCAGTGATGGAAGAAGTACTCAGATTATATGTACTTAAGTAAAAGTAGCAATACCACTTTGTACAAATACTAAGTCCTGCATTCAGAACCTTACTCAAGTAATAAGTAATGGAGTAGTAGCATTGAAATATACTTACTTACCAAAAGTACACATAATGCAGAATTGTTCATTTCAGAATAATATATATAATATCACACGATTATTGTTGATTATATTTCGTATCGATCATCTGAATCTGCATGTAAAGTAACAAGTGTATATAGTAAAAGTAAAATGTACAATATTTCCCTCTGACATGTAGTGGAGTGGAAGTATCAAGTAGCATGAAATGGAAATACTCAAGTTATGTACAAGTACCTTAAAATTGTACTTACGTACTGTATTTGAGTAAATGTAGTTAAGTTACATTCCACCATTGCTTATATGTCAGTTTCAGTGTCTGTTTTTCGTTTGTTTAGTGAACACATCTGGATTTGTGCCCAGTCCTCTCTGTTTCCTGTCCTCTGTGTGAAATGACCTGACTGACTTCACTGGTTCCAGCATCAGATCACAATGGCCAGAATAGCCTGGTACCAAGAGAAGGTAATACAGATATTCAGTTGTAAATTACCCTTTTTTTTAAAGTGTACATTTAATTTATCCAACAAACCAATTTAAAAAAATCTCGATAGATAGATAGATAGATAGATAGATGAGACATTTGAATTTGGTGATATTGGTACAGAAACAGCTTTACATTTATGTTATGAATGTATACTTGGGGGATGTTGTAAGATCAATTTACAGAAAATAGATGCATTTTTTATTTAAATGGAAAGTTTTATATCAATAAATGCAAATAGTGTCAGAGAAAACCAAGTGCAGACCAGTTCAAGACTGAGATTTATGATTTTATTAGCTCATTTGACAGGGGCACTGCTCCTTTTTCCCCCTGTTTACCTTTTGCTGTTTTCGTATGACGGCGTACAATCCAAATGAAGTTGGAAAAAAAACAGGTGTGACCTGTTCAACAGGTTACCGTGTGTCGAGACATGTAGGGGGATATTCACTAAGCCTGTCAGGGCTCGAGGCTGCCAATGCCACAAAATCGTGCATCAGTGTAATTTTCCAATTCATGTTATGAGCCCAGCTGCATTTCATCTGTGTCAATAAGATCTCTTGCCAGGCTGTTTATGGCCTGTGTTGACGTTTCTGAAAAGCAGTAGAGCGCAAAAGAAAGTGTTTACAGCTAATAGGCTGAGAATATTACACTTTAAAAAGTCCCATCTTTTACATTTAAAATGTTATTTACGCTAGTTCATGTAGGTATATTTAGAAATGTCAGTCTCATATTCATTATTGTAATATGTATGAGGGTCTTAATTAGCTGTCTTTAAATGTCAGAAGAAAATGTCATCGGTTAGTAATATTTTTAAATGCATTCATTTTAATTACCCAGTTTATTTGAAGAAGCTTTTGGAGCCGTAAATGTATTTATTAAGACACTCTGATCAGCTCTCCCTCTCTGTTTCTTCAGTCTCTACAGAAACGGGTAAAAAATAACAATCTTCTTTTAAGTCTGATTTATTGGAATAATTTACCATAAGGATGAGCCCAAACATGCCCGAACAGCACTTTTCTTCCATTTGAACTCAGCAAAAACATTGATGCTGTAAATCTGGACAAACTGAATGTTACTAATTGCCACAGACCCTTAGTAAATACTCCGTGGTGCTTCATTTGAAGAATCAGAATCAGCTTTATTTGGCCAAGTATGTGTGCACATAAAAGTAATTTGAGCCAGTGTCTTTTTCTTTTTTTTTTTGCATCTTTCACAATGTACTTTCATAGAATTAAAAATAACAGCTCAGGGATAAGGACAACAAAGCTGGTCAGATGATAAAACATCTATAAGTCAAGTTTTCTTTAATTTGTAAACAAAACAAATAGTGCAAAGAAATAGATACTGAATGGATATACATGGCCTGAATTATTATGTAGGTATGTACATGTAAAGATGACTTCATACTGTATACTGTATACTGTAATAGCCACAAATGATACGTACCTATTAAAATTTGCAACTTGCACATTAGTGAAAATGCTAGTCAGGGTAATGAATGTTCTGTTGTTGCTACAGATCGGAGCCTATGATCAGCAAGTCTGGGAGAAATCTCTGGAGCAGACGGATTTAAATGTAAGACAACAGCAGATCTCTGAAAAGAAATACATTTTTTGTGTATTCATCTTGTGCATTACCACTGTATTGAAAATACCACTTGCCATTCATCTAGGGTTTGGACAGCCAGCCGAGAAAGACTGGTCACATCAGATCAGACCTCATTGATGTCGACTTAGTAAGAGGTGAGCATCAGTGAGGAGTAGTTCTCCATCTCTTGTTAGTTAGTTTGATAACAGAGACATTATAATCATATGCATACAGACAGCTTACACACTAACAAATGCATGTTCTGCTGTCGGCTAATACCAACCTCCGTCTACTTGCTTTAGCCCCGATAACGACAGAAGAATAACAAACAGAGACAAATCACAGGACTTTGTATCGTCGACAAATATCGTCATGTTTGTAATGGCGTCAATGCAGCTGTGTGAGCGACATCCTCGTTTCTCCCCGCAGGATCAACATTCGGCAAAGCCAAGCCAGACAGACCCTGGACAGCTCTGACCCGGAAGGGTCTGGTCAGAGTGCTGCTGTTCCCGTTCTTCTTCCAGTGGTGGATCCAGGTGACCTCCAGGTCCATCTCCTCATGGATCCTCGTGCTGTATTTCATGCAAGGTTAGCTCACCGGGTCTATTCACACTTGGGCTGTGGGTTTCTCAGCAAAACTGCCCTAAATTTGATAATTAATTCAAATATTTACATAATGACGAGAGAACCAGGGCACAAGTAACTACATACTGCAAACTGACTCGTACTGCTGAAGGATCTCAGTCCTGTTCTTTCTTGTTTTTATTGAAGATATCATTAAAACACCTCATTGAGGAGGGATTTGAAAGAATAGTAATTCCTTCATGAGCCTCTTCTATATTGCCATTATCAATCATTTATGTGCTTTCAAAATCCACAGAGAAAGAGACAATATGGAGCCCAGCTATAATGAATTACCAGTCTTGACATCCACATTGAGTAATGGTTTTAAAGCTAACTAACAGAGTCCCGTTTGAAATGCTTTTATTGCAACAGTGACATTTTGAGTGTGCGTCGTTCTTCAGCTAAAACATCACTGCTGCTGCTGGAGTGAAAGTCATTCAGAGATTAGGTGGGACGCCTCAGGCAAAAACATTATTTTCATGCACTGATCAATTTTGGGGTATTTTTCTTCTATTTTCTTTCAGACTAGTGGGAAGAAATGCATCCAAAGTACACATTTAAGTGTTTATTTTACAAATGTTTTTCTATTTGTGTCACCAAATTTAGCATTATATAATGCCTCATTTGCACATATAAACATATAATTAGTACCAAAAACAATAGTTTTTTTGTGTTATCTATCAGTTAAAATGTTACCCTATTGGCCTCTGGTGTCCTTCAAAATGTATGGAATTTTATATTCTCATATTCCTCAACATCAGTTTTATCTAAGCCTCTGAGCCATACATCTTTTCATTCCTATCTATATTCTGAAGGTTTTTATTGAGGGGTTTGTTCATATATCAGTTGTAGCCCGATTTATATGGCATCTTATTTCTGAAAACATGGCCAAAAAAAAAGATTGATTTAATGGCTGTTGACAGTATTTTCTGATTTATGCAGTAATAAAAAAGAGCTATTCCAATTTCCCATTGAGTCCCTTTGACTCTTTTAGGTTTTTACAAATAAATCAAAAATTTTGAACCTGACTTCATCCAATGTTCAGGTTTCTGTTGTAGAAATGTCATATTTGATTAAAATATAGCCTCATTTGCATATTTAAACTATATTTTTTTTACCATATTTGCCTGTTTTGTCTCCCCATAAATATTTTTAGATTGTCTCTTTTGACTTTGCTGAGCCATAGAAACACACGCAGGATATAAATATCAATGATTGTAAAGACAATATGAGGATTTTAATACGTACCCAATTCAGTATCTCCATTTGTCATTTTTACATTCAGTTATGTGCAACAACAAACGTGTTACCCATCACACCTGAGCGACACAGAAAGACCTCATTAATAAGCATGAATTCTGTTATAATGGCTCCCCTAAGAGACCGTTTTGTTTGCTGTTGCCAAATGTTTTGCTCCCCTCAGTGGCAGCAGTGGTGCTGTACTTGGAGGTCCCTGGGGCGAGTGCCAGCGAGGTGTTTGGGCCCATGTGTCTGATGCTGCTGCTGGGCACCGTGCACTGCCAGATTGTGTCGACTGAGTCCAGCCGGTGGCCCTCGGGCAGTCCAGCTGCCAGCTGCACCACCAGCCCTGCTCGCAGACGGAGGTTGTTCTCTCATTGTTAGGCACTGCACACTCATTTGCCTTAACAAACACACTCTTACCTCTTGGCACGTGCATAAACAAGAATAAACCCAAGGACTTTCCATCAACCTGACGTTGTTTTATTCAGTAAAGCCTCTCTGATGCTCTCCAAACTCCTGTGGGTTTAAGCTCATTTTGTGATGCCTGCTGTATTTGCAATCTCTCGTCTTTGACTGTCCTTTTTATTCTGTGTCCTTTCAGGCCGAGGAAGGGCAGAGTGCTGAAAAAATCAGAAGAAAAGAATGACGGGGGGGACGCAGGGGAGCAGGGGCCGTGGCAGTTTGAGGAAAGCCAGCGGGTGTGCAGGAACGAAGAGAGGAGGGTACAGTCACCTATCTCACTAGTATGAAGCGAAGAAGGAACTGATTTATGACAGAAGTAAAGATCACTGTCAGAATAAAAATAAAAAAACCTGTCAATAAATATGGATGGGATGCAGTGGAAATGTAGTTAGAATTAAACTCTGGGTCCATTGCCAAAATTTAAAGGTACAGTCAACCCAAAATCAAAAATCCCTATCGTTTCTTCTTACCTGTAGTGCTATTCATCAATCTAGAGTTCTGGAGATATCGACCATAGAGTTGTCTGCCTTTCTCCAATATAATGGGACTATATGGCACTCAGCTTGTGGTGCTCAAAGCCAAGAAAATACATTTAAAAAGGCTCAACAGCAATGTCTCCTTCCAGAAATGATGACTCAGTTACTCAAAATAATCCACAGACCTTGTTAAGAGCAGTTTCGTGTAAGAACCTGGTCATAATTTCAAGAGACATTGGTGTTTTTTCTGTGTATTGTTTGAGGGCCCTCAAGTCCCATTGTATTCAAGAGAAGGCAGACATTTATATTGCTGATATCTCCAAAACTTGGCAACAGACATCAAAACAATTAGCATGATACATAGTGCTACAGGTTAGAGGAAAAAGAAAATGTAGTTTTTGGGGAGAACTGTCCCTGTTTGGCCTCTGGCTAATGAGGACGTGTAACTGATGTTTGCTGTCTCATTATCCGTACAAAGGCAGATTGATTCTACACTGATTTAGTGAAGATAAAGAAACACCTGTATCTTTATTGCAATCGATGAACCTCCTCGACTGCCTCGAGCTTCTAATAAGAAGAACCGTTGTTGATTGTTTTATTGACTCCAGGGCTGTTGTATTGGAGTTCATGAGATAGTCAGATAGTCTTGTTATTTTGGTAATTTCCTGTATTACAGGACTGAGTTCAAAGCTGCCCTTGACTCTTTAATTCCATTCTTGCTTTGAAGTGCACCATAGTGGTACAGTCTGTGGTGTTTGTCAAAGTCCTGCATTTTTTGTATTACATGTTTTAAGATGTATGTGTGTTTCAATATTCTCTCACAGACCACAAGAAAGTCAGGATTTGGGGCATCCGACGAGCTCTCCAGTGAGGAAGAGGAGGGGGTTCAACCAGTGGAAGTAATTCTTCCAAAACCTCATCAAGAGAGGCTCCCTGCTTCAACTTCCCCACCAATGTCTTCTGTTAGGAAGAGAAGTCTAAAGTCTAACTCCAAATCTCCATTAAGACCTGAGGTACACCTCGTCATTAGCCTGTGTGTTAATGAAACCGGAGTTTGACGTTTACTTTACATCAGTTGTGTGTTCCTCGTATAGAACAAGCATTTAGGATTGAGCACAGTTCAGCGTGAAGTGAAACGACTCTTTATATACTGAAAACAGGAAGGGGCCTCCGTCAAGGGGACGCCCAGAGAGTTGGAGCGCCTCAGGCCGAGCGGGTGCTCGCTTCCCGCCTCCTCGCGTCCCGCCTCCGACACCGATGACACACTGTGGGAGGAGCTTCTCCAAGGGCCCGACTCCGCCTCCACGGGGAGCAGTGACAGCGAGTCGACCGGGAGGTTCAACGCTGGCGTGGCGCTCGCTCAAACCACCACTCTGAGCAGTGATGATGAGAGCCTGCAGCAGGGAATCGCCGGAGTAAGACCGTCTTAAATACTCTTCCTCCACTGGTTTTGTCTCATCGTGTACATGTTGGTACATTTTATTCATGGAGGTCAAAACACTCCTAAGGCGTTACAACTTTATGGTGTTAATGTTAAATGTTGTAATATTTAAGTGCTAGCTTCATTAGCCGTCCCAGTCCCATTGGAAACCATCAGTAAACTGGATGTTATTTATTGTGTTTCATTTCAGAACCAGCTGTCTTGGCTGCAGGCATGTCACCCATCCAAGGACCGGGTCAGTGCCATATTTTGGGAGCAGGGCGAGTGTAGGAAAGCAGACATGTCAGTGTTGGAGATCAGTGGGATCATCCTCACGCGGGTACACGTCACGCTCTTTACTTTGGTATTAATTCTGTGGGTAAAGATTGCTTAGAGTCACGTCTGTGGTGAGAAATATTGTAATCTAAGGAAAGCCTCGTTCAGTGATGAAATACAGTGACGGATAACAATTTGAATTAACTTATTATATGATTAACAATATGCCAAAATGTGATATTCCTACTCTGTTGAACATTTACCTGTCTGACGTATATAATCACTTGTAGACATTAGAAAAAATACAGAAACACAGACTGCGTTCTTTTAACACAATCTTTTCTTACAGAGTTTGCTGTCAAGAACAATAGATTTGCTTTTCACAGCATTAGAATGTTGCTGCATAACAACATGTCTCTCTCTCTCTCTCTTGTGTTTCTTGACAGGTGAAGTTGGTGGAGCAGGGTATGGGTTACCTTGTGCTCGGTGGGCTGATGACCGCCACCCTGGCGCTGCTTCCCTTCGCCTTCCACTTGGCCCAGCGTCTGGACACGTCGCTCCTCGGCTCCATGTCCCTCAAACAGCTGGGCGAAATGGCGGTGGGGCGGTGTGATACCCAGGTCTACGTCTTTTTCTTCATCACGATGGTGCTGAGAGTCTGCCTCATAGGACTGTTCTTCTTCATGATGTGTGTGGCTGAGAGAACGTACAAACAGGTAATACGATTTAATAAACCCATCGAACCTGAATGATGAAATTTGTGCCAAAACTCACATTCCTTCATGTCTGTTGTAACTCAAAAATGTTAAGACAGAAATATGATACATACTGTTAGTTTGAGCTTTATTACCTCACTAACTCACTAACTAGCAATATTATACTTCCTACTTGCGTCCCCCAAAGCATTATGGGAACTGTTCCAAACCATTATGTGATTATCCCAAATAGAAGTAAGAAACAGAAGTGACAAAATCCATTATTGTTACCCTTTTCTTGTTTGTTTACTAGTGAGAATGTTATGTTAATATCCCAGGAACATCAATACATTATCCGTTCATGGACAGTTATCGCCCTGCCTTGAAAATCAACTATAGGAGTGAAAAAGCCTAGGGATCATTGTTTGATTGTATTATTACAGCTGATTTTAGTTTGTTTTTTAATGTACTTTAATGAATTCTGATAGTATGCAACTTCATCCACACTCACCAATCCGTTTAGTCACTCACAGCTTCCCTCTAGTGGCAGTTAGGAAACATTGAAACAGAATCACTCGACTCTTTGCAGGAGACTGCTAAACTCTGTCGACTTGCTTTGCATCTCTGACAATGTGTGTACGTCCATGTTTCCACTACAGAGACTCTTGTTTGCAAAGTACTTCAGCCACATCACTTCAGCTCGCAAGGCCAAGAAATCAGAGATCCCTCATTTCCGGCTGAAGAAGGTCCAGAACATAAAGATGTGGTTGTCACTGCGCTCTTTTCTCAGGGTTTGTATTCACCTGCTTTAACTCCGTCATTGCTGTTACGTTGTTTCACCACCGGAGGGTTGCGATGGACGCAGCTTTGTTTGTAACGGTGACTCTCTCGTTCATTGCAGAGGCGAGGGCCGCAGCGCTCCGTCGACGTCATCGTCTCCACGATCTTCCTTTTGGCGCTCTCTATTTCATTCATCATTTGTGCCCAGGTCAGTCATGTGTCCGCTGGAAGAGATCAGATCTGTTGTGCCGGCGGCCACGACGAGTATCACTACTGTTGTTATTCTCGCTCTTCCTCAGCTGCTGCACAACCACCAGACATTCCTGGATTCTCTGACCAACTGGGAGCTGATGGTGTGGGCCTCCTCCCTCATCCTCTTTCTCTTACGGCTGGCCACGCTGGGCTCAGAGACCAACTGCAAATACAGCAACTCCTCAGTGCTGCTCACCGAGCAGGTAAGGACCCGGCTCGTCTGAACACATGGAGTTGCAAGTAAATTTGTCAGTGGGTTCAGCACAATAGGCGACACCATCAACTCATTCAGTGTTAGAATCGTTTAATCCAGGTTTGAATGAATGACTATGACTTTATTGTACAATTTACAGAATGTCACACTGCTCTTGGTTGCAGATCAATTTGTATCTCAAGATGGAGAAAAAGCCCAATAAGAAAGAAGAACTCAATATCGTGAACAACGTTTTGAAACTGGCTACAAAACTGATGAAAGTAAGCAAAAATTAAGCTTCTTTGTTTTTTGAAAAAAATTAATGGTCTGATTTTAATTTACCACACAGTGCTTTATCTGAATTATTGTAGTTATTTTGCTTTGTAATATTACTACAGCAGAGCCAGAACCTTACTCTCGTCATTATTTTCCATGTCTAAAATATTGCACATTTTTGTATTTTATTCCTGTCAAAGTATGATAAAGGCGGTAAAAGTTTTTCCCCAGATCCTAAACCATCTTTTAATAATGAGAACTCACTGATACTGTGCCTTAAAGCATTATTTATCCATGACTGCATATTACAGCTGCACATTTTATTCGACAAAGAGACTGACTTCATTTTACAACTGAATCATTTTCTATAAGAACAAAACAGTGACTCAGATCTTTCCTTTTAATGTTTTAAGTTTATCTTTAAGAACATTAACAAAATCTAAAATTATCCTATTACAAATCTTAAACGCTGCCCCAGAGTTAGAACACAGAATAGCATTTAAACTACATTTAAAAGTAGTGCCTCATTGTTTACCATGTAGTGAATAGCTGTTAATACCTCTGATCTCTGCCGTGGGGGTTAACCATGAACTGTAATGTTCCTGGTTTGAGTCTTTGTTGCGTTCCTTATTTCCAGTTCTCTCTCTCACTCTCTCTCTCTCTCTCTCACTCTCACTCTCACTCTCTCACTCTCACTCTCTCTAGCACTCTCCTATGTTCAACAATCAGCTTCTATACGTCACTTAGGATTGACTCAAGACATCGCTAATAACTTAATACTGAGAGATATAGAACTAATTTGATTGCATTGTAATTACATTTGTTTTATTTATAGTGATGGCCCCATGGAGCTATTTTTGTCAGTGGTACCCGTGACATGCATTCCCTCTTACCTCCTCCAGGAGCTGGATATTCCATTCAGACTGCTGGGTCTGACTGTAAACCCTCTCATCTACAACATCACCAGAGTGGTCATCCTGTCCGCCGTGTCTGCTGTGGTCAGCGACCTGCTCGGCTTCAACATCAGAGTGAGAGCCTTTCTGCTAAGTGTTAAAATACACAGAACGAATTATGATTAAAGGGGCACTCAACTCTACTTTACACAAGTTCAGTTTAGTCTTCACATAAAGCAGTATTCAGCCTGTGACAACGGGTTGTGTTATGTCTTCTGTGGCTGTAGAGGGAGCTTTCTGAAGTTTGGAAGTCTCAACGCCAAACTCAGTCAGTTGCATTGTGGGAAATGTAGGATCCAGTGATTTTTGTTGTGTTTGGCTAGGGGACTACAACTCATGTGAATACCCCAACTTATTGAATTACAATAATAAAACACTGGACTGACCTTGAAATGAAAATTGTGAAATGTTCCCTTTATAGTTGCATATTACAAACAACCAGTGGGGTTGTAAAGTAGCAGGGATAACAGGGATATCTCAAAAATATCGATGCCTAAGTCAAAAGTTGGATTACAAGATCAACTGTGTACAACTCATGATTGTGAGGGGAGTATGTAGCTGGAGCCAGGAGGTTGTTAGCATAGCTTAGCTTAAAGACTGTAAGCAGGAAACAGCTAGCTTGGCTGCCTCTTCTAATGTCATTGTAATTAATCATAACTTGTTGTTTTTATATTTCTGTTTGTGTGTACGTATTAAACAAGAGATGCATCATGATCTTTACAGCTGCAAGTAGGTTTAATTATGTACGATGCTAAGATAAACCAAGTTCTAGCCTCCTGGCTCTATAGCTCTATATTTATAGCACAGACATGAGACTAGAATCAATCAAAACTTGCTGCAAGAAAGTGAATAAGCATGCTCCCTAAAAACAGTTCCTCTAATGAGGGATGTAAGACATCTGAAATGACGGTATTCTTTTTTCCTCCTAATGACAGTTTTATCTCTTCTGCTTCATTTCCAGCTGTGGAAAATCAAACCTTAATGTGAAAACGGTCGGACACTGGAGACCAGAAACTCCCCACGTCTGCTGCATACAGCGTCTCATCTACAAAAAGACAAAAAAGTGCAAACCTACTGACTCTGTAATGATTGTCTGTGCCTTCCAGCTGAGACTTCTGTCTCTTGAGTTTCATGAGTCTTTCACAATCCTGAGATGCTCTGACAATCGCTCGCACACCGTTACTGGCTCAGCCAGTGTCCATCCACCACGCCGCTAACCCAGTGCCTGACCGTTGACCCTTGACCCTTGAATGTTCCTCAGTATGTGGCTAAATATGGTGGTGAGTTTGAGGTCATTTCAGGCTTCTGTGGCGTCCACATTCCAAAATGTGTACAGATGTGTGGACACAACATCAAAAGTAAATGCAGATGTAGATATTATTGTCTTACTCACTGATGTTTCTCATCAATCTAACTGTAAATCAAGATGGGCTGCCAGCTTAATTAAGTGAATTTTCGTAGGACTCATCTTTAATTTCAACCTTTTGTACTATTTAAAGAGGAAACCTTGTGATTGTAAGTGGGCTTTATTTATTCTGGGTTCTATTGTAGCACTTGTAATGGTACTTGTAAATCCTAACTCTCTGACCACTATCTATTGAGGACCATTGTTGAATGAAATGACTATGCAATGTTTGTATAGTTATGCTCAAATTAAATATTTGATAGAGGTGAATAAATGTTTTTCAACCACGGATCGGTTTCGTAATGTTTCTCTCTCCACATGCTGGGTTCACTTCATCCTCTGCAGAGCTCTTACTGTCTGTTACGTCTTTTTTGAATTAGTGATAATGGGTTGTGCATTGACGTATGATCTATTATCAACGTTACGGTAGGAAAAAAAATGATGACGTAGAGGCACATCTTCCGCTTGGAAGGACACCAGCCGGCCGAGGAGGCACCTCCGCACCAAGGACAGGCCGACCAGACTGGCTCCTCCGGCCGCAGCGGCGGGTGCAAACTCTCGGTCCGGCAAAATCGTGAGACCCCCGTGCCGACGGTGTGTAACGGCGTCCGCAGAGGCTTTCCACCCGTCACGACTCGTATTATTTACATATCGACCAGGTAAAAAATGAATATGATGCGTCCTGTGTAGAATATGTTTGAGGCGGATCATGTTGTTGGGCATTTTCATTTGGGATTATGTTGTTATGTCGGATTTCGCGTCGCATGAACTCAGTCACCGCAGTTAAAGAGAGAATGATGGCATTGCTCATATGCAGCTTTGTAAACACAGTGGGTTTAGCCAAGCGGACTTCTTTCCCTTTAAGAGATGATGTGGCAGCATATTCATCCTTTGCCCTTCTGGTGTATGTTTCCAGGGATCCATGGAATGGAGCCATAACATATTTTTTTTAGAGAATGCATAGCTTTGTGTTTAAGATTCTGTTCTGTCAGAGATGCATGGAAGTAATAGACTGACTGACATTGATCTGACTCCTCTGTTTCAGCCCAGCTTGGATAATCCCTTCTGAGACAGAAAGAGAGCTGATTTTTTTTTTTTTATTTTATTTTTTTTTTTTTTACTCAAACAACTCTCAACATGTCGAGCACTCAGATAGACAACGGCTCTGCAAACTCAGCAGAAGCTAAGAAAGCAGACATGAGAATGAATGAGAAGAAGTGCTGTAAGTGAAGTCTTAACAATCATTCCATTTGAACAAGTTCTTCTGCATGACTGCTTTAAGCGTCCACAGGTGCTCTTGTAGCATAAAGCCTTGTATTGTTCACTCTGTGACACCTTCTGTGGTTTCCACTGTTCTTAAGTAAATTGCCTTTCTCAGGATGTTTCCTCCTCTAATTTCTGTAGATCCTGTCTTCGATCCCAGTCCGCTGATGATATTTTTGTCTGAAGAGATAATTATTTTAGTCCAGTGCACGCATGGCCTAATTATTATTTTGTCCTTTAAGAATCCTGCAACAAAATGCGTTTTTCTTGCAGTATTTTCATTAGTTGTGTTGAAACGCAGCCTGACTTTCCAAGACAGTACATTTACATCTACGTACCTTAAATTCTCTGCCTGTTATGCAGCATTTTGTCATGCAGGTGATTCACATTGCAGACACTATAACTGTGTAGGGTTTCTATTAATGTGCTTGTGCATCTGTCCCCTGTCTAGCATGGGCCTCCAATATGACAAACTCTCCAACGGTGATCGTAATGATCGGCCTGCCTGCAAGAGGGAAGACCTACATGTCAAAGAAACTCACACGTTACCTCAACTGGATCGGAGTCCCAACCAAAGGTACATGACGTGACAAAAACCTGTTTTCTTTGTGTGTTCAATTTTCCCCAATAGTAAATCTAAGTCAAGCTCACTGCACATATTTCAAATTATAATCAATATACAATCATATCGTGTCATGGGTGTCAACTCAAAAGTAGAGTATATTGGTCTACAAACTAATTTAACACTTTAAATCAATAATATAAATCAGATTTTTTTCTAAAAATAAAACAAAAACCTTACCAATATATTGAGGAGAATCAAAAGATCTTTGCCGATAATTTGTCACGGGTTATAAAATTAGAGGAGGAAGATATCTAATGTATTGATTACAGGTGAAACTGTTTATTTTTACTTTCAAATACTTTGCAATGATTGTCCAAACATTCTTCATATTGGTTTATGTAGCAACCCCCATTTGACATGACATGTACATTTAAATGTGCGTAGCCTACTGTATGCGAGTATCTGAGAATAGGAGGCTGAATTCAGCATCGGCTGTAATGCCGTGTTAATGTCATTTGTTCATTTTTCAGTGTTTAACTTGGGCGTGTACCGCAGAGAGGCCGTCAGAGCTTATAAGTCCTATGATTTCTTCCGGCACGACAATGAGGAAGCCATGAAAATAAGGAAGTAAGTTCCACTTTTACAAAATGTGCCCATCGTAGGCTGTCATTACACAGGACATTCATATATATTATTTATCTATCAGTAAGGGAGGCTGCAGCATTTCTACTGTCCAGTCCACACCTTTACTTGAAGAGTCTATTAACTTTTTTGTGTAAACAGTGTCACAGCTCTTTCAGGTTCGTTTGTCTTTTTTATATTAATGCCAACATTTCCCCCAAGTAACATGGTTCTGTTTGGTATTCTGCAGCCTCCACTGCTGCATCAGTGACTAAGCTGTTTTCAGGCCTACAGACAGAGTCAGCATAATGTTCATACTACCTTAAACTGGCACTGATTTATAGTTAATGTGCAAAGTATCACCACCAAATTATTCTGCTTTGTATTCAGATCAAATGTATAATCACTGCTTATTTCCCAAAAAAGATTAAGAATACAACCGTCTCTCTCTTTCCTTCATGGTCTTATCCAGCAGTGGTAATCAAAATGGAGTTTGTCGCTTTCATAAAAATGCGACAGGCTCTTGACAGCGTCCCCACGCTGAATCGTGACCTAGATATTAAACAAGCTGCCGCTGTCACTCTGAAGCTGACACAAGCCCGCCAGCTGGGTCTAACAGTAGCTGTAAAGACTTTGTCTTTTTCATATAAGAAGTATCAGTTTGGTGGGGTTAAAGGAAAAAGAAGCCATTTTGCTTTCTTGCAGAGAGTTAGATTAGAAGTGGTGGCCAGAAAATAGTTATTTACTGAAGAAAACAACACTAGATTATCCCAAATGGAAATTATTCCCGAGTGTAAGTGATAGTGACATTTTGGAAAATACGCTTCTTCGTTTTCTCGCCGAGAGTTACCTGAGAACGACTAGGCACATTTTACAAAGTATAAAACCATTTCTTTAACTCTACGAGACAATTTAGTGATGTTCTGTTCAGTAAATCCCTCAGGATTCCTTCAAGGTAGACTAAATCCACCCCAAAAATATTACTTTTCTTTCAAAAGAGCAGTCCAAATGAAACCGTGCACAATAAGGTCTATGGATTATCAAACGTGTAACCAAGACCTTTTGTCAAAGATAAAAAATATATTGCTGCTGAGCTTTGCAAATGTATTTTTTTCCAGTGCTTTCAGCAGCACATATTGAATTCTATGTAGCTCAATTTTGTTGGGGTGGCAGCAGAAATCTAAAGAGCTAGATATCTCATAACCTCGGCGATAAAAAACTAAACTGTCTCCGTGATTAGACACCACTAGGAGATTAGAAAATCATTTTTGTGTGTGTTTGAGTTACCTGATCTTTTAACCAAGATACTATCAATATCCCTTATGCAGAAATATGTAAAATAAGACACTAATCTTTTATTTATTATTATGATTAGCAGTCTACTTGATGATCAAAAGAGCATGATTCCAACGACATAATACTACTAATACTTTCTGATTTCTGACATTTTCCATGTCATTTACGAATCTTTTTAGTGAATGCGAGCATACTGATGGTCCTTCAGAGCACTGTTCCCATGTATGTTTTCTCTCTCTCCCACAGGCAGTGTGCTCTGGTAGCTCTGCAGGATGTGAAGGCATACCTGTTGGTGGAGGGAGGTCAGATCGCGGTGAGTCCTCTCTCTGCCTATGTCTCTTTGTGTCTCAATGTTGACTCATTTCCAAATGTAAAGAAATATCCAGAAGGGAAACGCCTTTTGCAGTACGACAGTCTTAATCCTAAACTGTCCCTCAAACATTTTACCAGTGAAGACACGCATCATACATGATAAATTCTTTCCCTCCTTTGTGTTCCTTTTATTTTTTAGGTGTTTGATGCAACAAACACAACAAGAGAACGGCGTGACCTCATTCTAGCTTTTGTGAAGGAGAATGCATTCAAGGTGAGATTTGCTAAATTATGTTCATACTTTGCAATTGTTTCCTCTTTTCCCTCACGGGCTTTGGTGGAAAATAGGCGTTGATATTTAAACACTGTGCATAAAGCAGTTTCCTGTACTGGTTAAGCCACTGTGGCCACAACTGGTTAAAAGATTAAATCGGCCTTTAACTCCCAAGATTATTTAGAGTCAACTGTTTTTGTGTTTCTGTAATACCCTTAAGTGCGGTGCAACAAGATAAATAGAAGAGGAACAAAAATATCAATTAATTTGTCAATCAATTTAGTTTGGATCATAGAAATAAAATAGAGTAGAAGGGATATTCCCATTCAAAGCAATGTAGCTGGATGGTCAGAGCGGCAGCCATTTTTATTTGTACTGTTGCCATTGTACCCGTTGTAGCGGGCTAACTTCCGTATACACTACTCAGACTTACAGGAATGCTTCATCCACACACTCTTGTTCCTGTATTGAAATGTGACAACTTTTTTGGGCTCATTTTCTGTAATCAGTGTAGCATTAAGTATCGTGGAAATGAATTAGCTAGCTAGCTTGCTAATTATCCAATGCTACACTTTGTTACGTAAAATGATCGAACAGCGGGCTGGTGGCCAGCGGCAGCGCTTGGTCTATATGAGCCTTCTGCCTCACTCGCCACTGCTGCTCCATAGGTCTCAGGAGCAATTGCCATTTTCTTTTGTACTCGTCAAATGACCACAGAAAATAGTTGCAACTGCTAGCAACACTGCTAGTTCTACTTCCCTATTTCTTTGGTTCAGAAAGTCTCTTAAAGGTACTTTGTGTAATGTCTGACCACTAGTGGCAATATTGAGCAATGTTTTTGGAGCAATGCCCGTTTTGATTGCATCTCCTCCTTGTGCTCAAGGACACACATGTGTGTGAAACATAACACTCAGCTCTGCTGCCAGTTTCCTGCTACTCCACTGATTGACAGTTAGTTTTTTTCTTGCACCAAGACATGTTGCAACACCCCAGGAAATGCAGAAAAGAAGACTTAATGCCTAGCAAAAATGGTTGGAAACAATTCAGTCAAGAATACACACAATTCATTTTGGTAAGAGATAGTGAATGTAAACATCACTGTTTTTGTTTACTTGAAAACTCCACTGAGTGCCTTTAATTATCTGATGTGGAAACAGCTGATTATGTGACATTGCATCGATTCAATGGACATTTTCAGGAAGCTTTTGCACATGTTGACCCTGTGAGCTGCCCTCTGTCCAACAGGTGTTCTTTGTGGAGTCGGTGTGTGACGACCCAGAGGTCATTGCTGCTAATATTCTGGTATGATCTCGTGTCACCAACGACACTCAAAGGTTTGACTGTGACTTCTTGAGTTGTCTCGGTCGAACCCGTAATCTATTAATATTCACACTATCTACAGTGTTATGTGAGAACGGCCGTGCTTGCTCACATTGTTTGAATGTGCTACATACCTGTGACAGGAAGTGAAAGTGTCCAGTCCAGACTACCCTGAGAGACACAGAGAGAGGGTCATGGGCGATTTCCTCAAACGAATCGAGTGCTACAAGGTTACTTATCAACCATTAGATCCTGATGATTACGACAAGTAAGAACTGATCACCTGCTTCTGCTTCTATATTGGTTTTTCAAACGTTATTTAACACCGTTTACAAAAATGTAATATTCCAAGATTATTTATATAAAGCTTATTTTGGAATGTTTTTTTTAACCAAGGAGTAAAAATGTTTGCATCTTGTGTATCATTTTGTGGAATTGTGGTTGCAATTCAGAAGAAAACCACTAGATGGTGTCGTTGAACAACTATTTGACTCACCTACATGATTCATTGGCACCTGCAGGGACCTATCTTTCATCAAGGTGATGAACGTGGGTCGGCGTTTTCTGGTGAACCGCGTTCAGGACTACATCCAGAGTAAGATTGTCTACTACCTCATGAACATCCACGTGCACTCTCACTCCATCTACCTGTGTCGGCACGGAGAGAGCAACCACAACGTTGAAGGCCGCATCGGAGGAGATTCTGAACTGTCTCCTCGAGGGAAACAGGTTCTCTTTTCATAATCATTTTATGAACTCAGATCAGTGGGATAAGGTGTACTTAACTGTATTATTATGAACACCTGAGTCATACCCTTTATCACATCTAATCATCTCCATTTCCCATTTGCTTGTCTCGGTCAACTGGACATGAATCTAATGAAGCAGAAGTACTAAGGAATTAATTAAGAAGAAATAATGAACAGACAGATGATTGGAATTCTCTCTCTTTATCTCTCACATCCAGTTTGCCCATGCCCTGCGAGACTTCATTGAGGAGCACGACTTGTTGGATTTGAAGGTGTGGACGAGCCAACTGAGAAGAACCATCCAGACAGCAGAGGAGCTGGCCGTCCCTTATGAACAGTGGAAGATACTCAACGAGATTGATGCAGTCAGTACCTTCATTTTACAATTGGGATGGGAATTTTACAATTCTATGAATCATTACAGATTGACAGCGCTCTGGTTTAGATAGAGAGAAACTATAGTTTATTCATTGTATTTTTTAGATCCTTTAGCGGGAGGAAATGGGGCACAATATCAGTTGTTGAAGAAGTATTCAGATCCTTTACTGAAGTACTAATACCATGCTGTAAACAAAATACTCTGTTACAAGTAAAAAGTCTTGAACTGAAAATCTTACTTGAGTAAAAGTATGAACGTATAATAAAGAAAATGTAATTAAAGTATTAAAAATAAAAAAGTACTCAATGTAGAAAAATGGCTTCTTGCCAGTTAACTTTCTGTCAATCGATGAATCTATTAATAGTAGTTTAATTTATGACAAAACATCATATTTTATAAGCTATTTGAATGCACAAATCTGAATTTGTAATGTAACTAGTAACTAAGCGGTCAAATGATTGATAATAAATATTCTGAAATATAGTAGAGTAGAAGTGGCATAAAAAGAAAAGACTCAAGTACCTCAAATTAGTACTTGATACAATCCGTCTCTACACAATTGCCAAAGTGAAGAAGGCTTCAGTGTCGAGGTAAGAGGGACACAGCCACAAAGCATTTCAGTGCTTTTGTTATTGTTCAAGCATAGAGCAACATCCAGAGGAGAAACCTCACAGGGTCTTCATAGAGATGGGAATATGGTGATTACACCTGGTACTCTATTTACAATATTACAATATACTATATATATATATAATATACTACTATCACATGTATAACGTGTCTGTATTCTGGTGTGGAACTGATATTATTCTTTTAAAACATCCTGCTGCTGTTTTTCTTTATATAATCTCTATGTAGACTATATTTAAATTCTGCATGTGATGTTTTCTTGGCAGCGAAGTAAATAAAATGGTGTGTGTGTGTGTGTGTGTGTGTGTGTGTGTGTGTGTGTGTGTGTG